ATGTCACTTTCGAGCGATGCGACGTCACTTCGTCCGAGGTGCCCCTCTTTCCCTCGGATGCGAGACAAGAGTCCCCCTGAGGTCGCCGCGCAAGCGAAAGTAGGTCACCGCACGCGGCGGCTACCGGTCCTTACAGTTGGAACGTGGCAATTTGCTAGGACTAAGCTAAAACAAATGCAGAAATGGGGACTACACAGACGGAACAAAAAAGCGTTGTATCGATCGTCTAGAGAGCGGGTCCTGAACTTGGCAATTGCCATGTTTCAAACTGCAAAAACGCCGGCGACGTCGCGCGCGGTGACCTAGTTTCAGCGCGGCGGTCGCGGGAGACTCTTGACTGTCTCCCCTCCCCCTCAGGAAAAGTACCTTCTATCCGAAGGGGAGGCGCGTCTGCATTGCAGACTTCATATCACAAGTGATTACGGCCTCCACAAGAGGCGATGGTTCTCTGCTAAAATGTAATTAGCCTACTGCAAACCTACTCTACCAATTATCACTAGTTGAGGCTGTCACTCGCCTGCTATCAACTTTCACTATGAAATACTTAGCAGATTTTTCTGGAGCGTCAGTTGTGTTGTGGAGTCCGCACTCACTGCAGACGCACATGGCTCAAAATTCTTATCATACGCCCTCCAGTGTTCCTCGCACAATGAACTGCTGACCATACGTTCAGAGGGCTGTAGAAGGGGAATCTTGGCAACTACAGTAAAAAGTACCATAAATGGACACTGGAGAGCGTTTGTCGGGCGGTTGCATCTTTAAACTCTAATCTCAGGATGAATGCATTCTCTCGACCTGGTAGAAACTGAAACAGCAGATAATTCTTCGGAGTGATTTCATTCTCAAAAGTAGTCTTATTGATCAATTTTTTACGGGGTGTGCGAAAATTACTTGCTTAAATATCTGTCGTTAAAAAACGTAAACCGATAGATTTAGGCTTAGTTCTTCAACAGCAGATTACCAATGAAACGCCATTACGAAACGTTGGTCCATATTTCGAATTGCTTTCCCTAGGCTCGAATAAGGACCTTAGTCTGAAATCAGGTAGTTCACCTTTTCGCAACGGCATTCCGAAGAAATTTCTTTCTAAACCTGGTGCCAGGTTCTTTTTCAGTGCTTGAATTGTGTGGTGTATCTTAGATAAACCTTGCTCTCCAAAAAGCACCATGCGTAACACTCCATTGTTTTCAAATGGGACCTATAGGATGACCATACTCGACCGCTATTGATGCCTGTGGGGTGGCTTTGCACCACCGTTGAGCCACACTCGACCAATAGGCTAGTGCAGAATCATGTTGAAGCATGAACGGACTGCATTCGAAATCGCATGCTGTTCACAGAAAAGCGCTGTTCCTGAGCACGATTTCTAAGCTCACATTCGTGTCAATAACAATATGCTACTCGATGAAAAACCGTGGGAACTTGGCGATCATTGCTCAAACCATGGCCTTCTCGAGAAGACCAGAGCATTAATGAATTCTACCTTTCTCTTAGCAGCCCTAGTTGTTTGAATAGCATCCGATCATTTTGACGATTGAAATTTGGCTCCAACGTGAACAACACCTTACGGAAAAGGCGGTGTCTCAGCGGCGCACCGGCGTTGACCGTCCAAAGAACAGTTTGCATTCAAGACCCAATTTTTCTTAAAGGATGCAATTGGAAGCTTGGGCCTTCTGGCATTGATAAGGCCTTAACCCCATTTTCTTCTAGACAATGCGATCTGAAAAGGTACGGCTGATTCCCAGCTCTTTGACAATCTTCGCTCTTGGTTTTTGGACTGCACCTCACCATATCTCAAACCACTTGAACATTTTTTTCATGAATATAGCAACTGCACTTTTTTCCCTAGGCGGTCATGCATAACTCTGAGATCCTTGAATCGTTTGATAGTAAAGATCATATTTCTCCTATTAATGAAGGACCTTTGATACTTGTTTTCGAACAGCGGCGAAGCTAGCGCAACTAAGCGATCGCGGATCCGAGAGAATAGGGCCTGAAAGAAACAAGAGGCGGAGATGGTGGCTCAAACGGCTTATGAAATATGAAGCACTCAACCGATGGCTATTTGACAGACAATGATTGCAAATACTCAGTGTATCGAATCCTGCAAATTTGACCAAAGGTGCATCCTGTAGGGTTGTATGGAGGTGTATTTTGAAGCGCATATCAAACGGCTTGCTCACAAAGGCTAATTCCATCACTTTGAGGTGCTTTTAAAAATCACACAATAAATGTATGGCTTTTGAATTTCGGGCACAAAATATTGATGTAGTGGATATCGATTTCCTATTTGTGAATTAAATGTTCAAGGTGAAGAGGCACCAGAAGTTTCATTCCAAAAAGAGTTCCAAAAGTGCACAGAATTTTCAAACATTCCAAAAATCTCATAGCTCCTGATGAAGCTCCGAGTAATTTCGTAATATTCTGGTGTATTCGTTTTCCTTGCATTCTACTGGACTCAGCAGATGGCTAGTGGGATGTACTCCAGTGGATAACAAAGCGTTTCCGGGTCGGATTTTGCTTAACAACTGTTTCGCCAGAAATCGATCAAAACTTTGTTTAACACATCGTTTTATCAGCGGTTTTATAGCGAAACACGGCGCAATTGAACGGATTTATTGTTGTGGGTCGAATGCAACTCCAAGCAGTTGATAAGTGTGTGTTGAGTGGAGTGAATGAGAATAGCGTACGAAAAACATGTGTTTGTGTGATCAACGCCGCCCACATGGTCCGGAAGGGATAGCGGGACCGCGTGAGATTAACTAATATTAAAGTGTTACAATTTTTCGTCAAACGCTCCTGTAAGAAGGACAATTATAGAATGGAGCAACTGATCATACCAGGAAATGAATGGTGGGTAATAGGTCTCTTCTAGAGACAGGCTTTAGTTACGACTGATCTCACACTCTCCAAATCAAACGTTTCACCTCGCGCCCAGGGTCACCCTTTGCGTTCGCACTTTTCAAAGTTTTTATGACCCCTATTCTGGGAAGGTCTCGATACGCCCAATTCAGCATCACCCTCAGGAGGGTCCCTCAATACCTCCCACTCTCTCAAATCCGACCACCACCCTCACCATCACGGCTGTTTCTATATGTAGCATTTAATTCTGAGACCAGTCAACACAACCCAAACTCCGCCCACTTTTTCCTGCAACGGCTTTCGAATAGCAGGAGGAAGGAGCGGGTTCTGAAGCGGCCAAGTATCTTGGTTGTATCTCAGTCGCGCTTCTTTCGTGAAGTTTCCACTCAAACTTATCAAAAAAGCTTAAAAACGACCCCCGTTTTAACAGTTACGACCACTTCAACTGCCAAAGAATGACCCCCGTTCACGTCTTTCCCACTGATCTTAACCTTACCAATAAAGTTAATTTTGCTCAGCCTGCAACCCACCCTCCTAAATTCGCAAATATGATCCCCACCCTCGAAAGTGTGAATGAACATGAATACCAAGAAAAAACTGATCGACGCCCAACCATTTTTCATCCCTTGTGAGAGCTGAGGGTAAGCTTCGGATGCGCACTCATGTACTACCGCAGTCATTGGACTACCTCCCCAATGGAGATTATTGGTTTTTTAGGGTTCTAGTGGAAAAGTTTTGCTTTCTAAGTCATTTCATGTTTAGTCCTGAGGTTTTGGGGACTTCCTCATGAATAAAAGTTTCTGCAAAACCATTCCCAAAATAGCTACCGCGCTAATTGGAGAACACAACGCTCAAGTGGCTGGCACTCAACCTGCAGCGGTCGACCGCGTTAATGCTGTTCCGTCAAACGTGACACACGATGCTCTGCCAAGTAAATAGATGCCGCCGAAGGCTTTTAACTAGGTAATACGTAGAATCAATGCTGCACTTGAGCAACGTTTCATAGGATTTATGATTTATGATTTATTATCGGTTTCCATTTACAATAATTGAAAAGCCAAGTACAAAGCAAATTTCCGATAACTACAAAAAGAAAAAGGAAAGAAAACAAGTCTGATAAGGGGGCAATGAGGGAAGGGAGTGGATAGTGAGCGCAGAAGGGCAGTGGCCGCCAACACTGCAAGCTCTTGAATGGCAATTGAGAGCTCCGGATACCAGCTCAGTAGGTCCGCCAACTTTGCCAAGATCCGACTCCATGAAGGCACAAAGGGGAACGAGAGGATCAATGCATGAAGTGACGTGATAACAGTGAAACGTTACTTGAGCGAAGCCTGCAATGGTGGATGTAGAACACGCGCCATGAGAAAAAGTTCTCAATCTTGCTCTGATTCTAGATCAATCGCAGTCTGCTATAGGCGTCGTCCACGCGCTAGTCCTCCTTAGCTGGTCTTTTTTGGGATGCGGCACGCATTCTACTTCCATTTGTACATTCGTAGTGGCGTTTGAATGCGATGTGGCCTATACAATGACTTGCGGGGGCCAGCCGATGTACAAGTCAGTGTTTTTATCCTCCCAGACAAGTCTGGTACCAATTAACCGACCCCGGAGGGATGGAAGGCTTGGCGACTCACGACCCAGGATTTGATCCCCGGACCGCTCGCGTGGTAAGCGCGCCACTTGCCATCACACCAACTCCGCCCTAGAAAAGCCAAAGTGCCAGCAAATTAGCAGAATTATTCCTAAATGTATCTTGACGTTTTCCTGGGATTTTTATTCTCCCATTCCACTCCCTTATCTTCTCGAAATACTACAAATTTATGGGGTATATGGCATTTTTTCTTTCCTCCCTGGATGCACTAAGCATTCGACTTCCGTTCAAAATCGTACGATTCCAGTGTACGCCTTAGATAAGAGTCAATATTTTATGATTCAACTTCAAAAAAAGGCGAAAGATTTTTCTGTTAGGGCTAGAGCTGTTTACACTGTATAACTACGAGTGAAAACTAAAACTATTCTATACTACGTTGGAGTTTTCCGAAGTAAGCTGGCGTGAATAGCGCAGGCCGAGAAGAGTAGGCAAAATTATCATTACCATTATTGTAAATTCTTGATTTCCAGGAGTGATATTTTATTACTGTATGAAAGGACGATTCCCGTGGCAGAAGGCGTCGATCATGTGCAAACCGTACTGGGAGTGGGAACAATGGCTGAAACGGAAAAATCCGACGTTACCGAAACGATGGACGACTTTCAGTGAAAAAGCGCTAAAGCTCATGAAAAAGTCGGTTCAACTCCTTTTTCTGGTCTTGCTGTGTGTTGACAGCATAAATGTTTCTGTCACATATTTCAGAACCCTCACACCGCGCGTGAAAGATCGATGGACAGCCAAAGATATGCGAAAATGCATAGCAAAAGAAAAGCTGTTGAAACCAGTCAAGGTAGACGATTCTGTATAAAACCGAAACAAGTTTTTCATGAATTTCATTTCCTTCCTCTTTTTTTGCTGTCTTCCAACTTTATCGTTTCCCACATTTTTCGAACCAACAGTTCTTTTCCATTTTGAATTTGGAATAATTTTATCAGTTTTATAAGTTCCTTCTTTGTACAATTTTTTCCCATCTGTTCAGTAACTTCTATTTTCCGGCTGTCTCCCGTTTCAGTTCACCCCTCACCCTTTCAAGGCACATTTCGCAATTGAATGGATATGGGATAGAGTCCCGGTGTTGTCATGGTG